GAGAACGTCCTCGTCCACCTAGCCACCGGCGAGGCGAAGCTCATCGACTTCGGGTGCGGCACGATGCTCGAGGACACGTTCTACACCCGGATGCCAGGTGAGCCCAGAGCCAGGGCTGAGCCGGGCAGCGGAGGTTCCCCCTTTGCTGGCAGAGGAGGAAGAGGAACGGAAAGACTGGGAATCGTCCTTCAGCCGGCTGCAGCCAAGTTGCTTTTCGGCGGGGCAGGGGCTGGCTGTTGTGGAACGGGAGCTGGCAGGGAGGGAGCAGCATGGCCCTGATGAGCTGCACCTGTGTCCCATAGGAATGCCAGAGTACAGCCCACCGGAGTGGATCCTCTTTGGCTGCTACCAAGGCCAGCCAGCCACCATCTGGTCCTTGCGCATCCTGCTGTATGAGCTGGTCTGCGGGCACCTTCCTTTCCACACCAGTGAGGACATCATCTGCGACCAGCTCTTCTTCCCGCCCCAGGTATCTCAAGGTGGGGATGCGCCTTGAATGCATGGGGGGAAGAACAGGACTGGGAGAGGGCAGCTGGCACACAAGCATCCTGCCCTTGCAGCTAGTGAGGAGGTTGGTCTCCTGGGCTTAGCTGGAGAACGTGGCACGTGTGCCTCTGTGCTGCTCTCCTCCGAAAAGGAGGATTGATGGGAAGCTTTGTGTGCAGCACCGAGCCCTCCTAGTGTGGCCTGGGCACCACTGAATCCAGGAGAGCATGGACAGGAGCCTTGTCCCGCTGACCAGCGGTTTCTGGTTTGTCTCTGCAGAATGCCAGCACCTCATCAGGTGGTGTTTATCCATGGATCCCACAGACAGATCATCCTTAGAAGACCTTTTTGAGCATTCTTGGCTGCAGGACCCCCATGTGGCTCAGGAGACAGCAGAGATCCATCCCTCTGCACAGTAGGATCCAGCAAGTACCAGCTGCATGTGTCTGGTGGCCCTGGATGAAAACGCCAGAGCATTTCTCTGTGGCTGTGGCACAGAGGAGACAGTGCAGCCTAGGAGATGCTTCCACTGGTCTCTGGCAAGGTGTGGAGGGAACTCAGTGCTCCCTGTCCTGTTGGGAGAATTGGTGGCAGAGCAGTGAAGTTGCCACAGACTGGAAAAGGGGAAACATCCCCCTGCAGCTCAATGGCATCGTGATGTCCCCACAAGCCGAGGCACAGCTGACGTGTTCTCCTGGAGCACGACGTGGAGCTGGGAACACCATCCTGGAGCTGGCTGCTGGCAGGGCAGAGCCAATTGGCTTTGGCTGCGGCCCCTGCCTGGAGGACACGCTCTGCACCCCGATGGAATCAAGATGAGTCCCCAGCTGGTGCAGGGACGGGGGATGCTTGTGCTCCCAGGCATGGCAGGGCTCGGCTGGACCAGGTGCTGGAGGTTCCCTGCTCAGTGGCAATGGGTATTATTAATTTTTCTGCCGGTCCCCAAGCTGCTTTTTGTCAGGACAGGGGATTGGATGTTGTGGAAGGGGAACTAGCTCCTGGCCTTGCTGACAGCTTCTGCCAGCCAGCCTGGGGCAGGGGCAGCCAGCCTGACAAAAGCATCCATCCGTGTGGATGGGGGGCAGCAGAGGGGGACAGGTTCCGAAGCCATGACCTAGCTGGTCTGCTTTGCAGGGCCTTGAGGAAGTGGTGGGTTTATGGGAGGGAAAGGTGGGGTTTTTCTCCACTCATGAAGAGGTTTAATTCTCATATGGAGTGGTCAGACCTTCCTAGGCCTGTGATACAGTGATAACCTTTGACAGATTTTCTTGTTTCCAGGTCTTGTTTTGAATTGATTGTCACACAATTGTTCTTTTTTTTCTTTTCCAGGAAGATTGCACCTAGTGACCAGACCAGACGGGGAAGCACCTGAACTGTCCGTGGAGCACGTCCAGTGCCAGTGCTGCCCTGTAGGGGGCATCCCCTTCAAGAAGGACAAGGATCTCCTGCAGTATCAGCTCCTCTCCTGGCAGCAGGTCTCTAGATGTGGGTGCCCGGCTCCACAGCTGGGCTGGCAGAAGAGCTCCTGGCAGACAGGAGCGGGCACACGGGCATCATCCCACTCTTGCAGCTGAGGAGGTTGCCATGCTGTGCTGAAGCGGAGCGTGTGGAATATGGAATGCCATGCTGCTCTCCTCTAAAACAGAGAATGGGTTGGGAGTGTGGGCTCTGAGCATAGCCAGCAGCCTGGACTGGGAACAGGCTGTGGTGGGACAGGGGGGACAGGAGCCTTCTGTGACTGACCATGGCTCTCTGGTTTCTCTTTCCAGGCTGCCAGCACCTCATGTGATGGATACAGCACTGCTCGGCCTGCTGGTCTGGGAGGGCTGGAGGGCAGCGGGTGTTCATTTGCAGTCCAAAATAAATCATTGTGTTGTTGTCATAATTGGAGTGTTTCTTTCACCTTTTCTGAGCTTTTGCCTCCTTTCAGGATAATCCTTTTGTGTTCTTTCTCAGCCATAAATAGCATTTTGCAGGGGGGGTAAAGTAACCCAAAAAATTCAATTACAGCTCCTGTGGCAGGCCCCTGGACACGAACGCTGGCCCTTTTCTATGGGAAACAAAACTCACCACCCCAGTTTCCTGCTGTCAGTTTGGAGGAGGCATTTGGCACTGTCAGGGCAGCCTGAGTTGTAGGTGGTGGCAGGTTGGGTCTGGGAGACATCCTGTGCTGTTGGGAATTTGAGGAGGTGGCAGCCCACTCAGTGCCAAAGGCCCCTGGATACAAATGCTGGCCCTTTCCGGTGTCAAAAAAAACACATCCCCCCAGTGTGTTGATGCCAGTTTGGAGGAGGCATTTGGCACTCTGAGGGCAGCCTGAGTTCTGGGTGGTGGCAGCATTGGTCTGGGAGAAATCCTGTGCCATTCGGGATTTTAGCAGGCAGAAGGCCACTCAGGGCCACAGGCCGCTGAGCTGGGTGCAGGCCCCTGAACATGAACACCAGCCCTTTTCCATGGGAAACAAAACTCATCCTCCCCCGTTTCCTGCTGTCAGTTTGCAGGAGGCATTTGGCACTGCCAGGGCAGCCCGAGTTGTAGGTGGTGGCAGGTTGGGTCTGGGAGACATCCTGTGCTGTTGGGAATTTGGGGAGTGCACTTGGCTCCTTCTCTCCTCATTGTGTCTGGCACACGCAGGAGCCCAGAGCTCCTGCAGAAACCATCCCAGCACTAAGTGGGAGCAACGTCTGTCCAGTGCTCACACAGAGCTGTGGTGTCCAGCATTGCAGCTCATTGGAATGAGGAAGTGTTCCAGCCCTCTTGGAAGGAGCTAAGGAGCTTTGGACTTCAGATCAGCTCCTTTCCAGCTCTTGATTTGCTGCCCTGGGGGAGCTGCTGCTTGTGGCAACACTTGTTTCACAGCTGACAGCCCTGCTCTGCTGGCCAGCAGCCATTGCAGGAGCTTGTGCTGGTGACATTGAACATTTCAGATCTTCCTAAGGAAAGCTCAGGGCAGAACTTGTCAAAAGAGCACTGCCTGGGCAGTGGCTTTGACATTAAATCTTTCTTCTGTGCTCCATGTCACACACAGTAAACATTTGAGGAAGCAAGTTTGCTGCTCCAGAAATTCCTCAAATCAGTCAGTTAAACCGGAACAGAACATGATCTGGGATGTGTAATCTCAGTTTAATTTTTTGAGCAGAAAGCTGCAGGAGCACTGTTTATTAGCTGTGTGTCTAACCTAAGTGACCTTGCCACCAAGAACTTAGTAAAGAGGGGAGAGATGGAATAAGCAGCACAAGGATCTGCATTGTGATTCTCCCACAGGCCTGAGGACAGGGCCCACTTCCACTGGGCCTTGGCTTTTTACCCTCCATCAAAACTTGGTGCTTCAGATTGTGGTGGTGAATGGGCCCGGCCTTGTGCGGCCCCAGGGTGATCTGGGAAACACTTGTCAGGCCTGGGCCTTGCTGAACAGCCCCTGGGCTCAGCTCCTGCTGAGCTTATCAGGGACAAAGAGCGCTCCCAGGAGCTTGGGCTGCCTAACGAGCTCCTGGGGTGTCTGGGAACAGCCTTGCAAACCACTTTTCTTGCCTGAATGGCATGGCATTCTTCTCCTCCCACTTTGCTAGACAGGCTGCTGGCCCCCAGTGCGGCCACGAGGAAGCATTTTATGGCTGAGGCCCACTCTCTTGTGGCCCATAAAGAGCGCTCCAATGGAGGCCCTTGGAGCTCTCCTGGAGCACAGTGGCTGCCAGCAGCAACCTCCCTCTGAGTGGGGCCTCTCAGGGGCAGCGAGCTCTCAAGTTTGCTGCACTGGCAGGATCACTGCTCAGCAATGGATCCTGGGCCAACAGCCCCACTCCTGGAGGCTCCAGTCTAACCACTGTTAAGCTGGAGTGCTGTTAAGATTTTAGGCCATACTCATTTTTAGCCTTATCCTTTCTGTACTTTTGTGAAGAGCACCTAAACACACACACACACACACACACACACACACACGCGCGCACACACACATGAACACTACTCACAATGTTTCTTGTTTGATTGACTGAAATTTGTTTGTTGCTATTGGTACTTTTTTCCTTGTTGTACCTTAAATGACCTGTAAGCAATAGTGTGAATGTTGCCAATGATTTTTTCAGAGGGTAGCTCAGATCCAACCTCACCTCTGTGTAAGGCTCAGCCATGTTCAGCTACTGCTTAATATTCAATCTGGTTTTACTGAACCTTGCCGGGGAATTTTTAAGCAATTTTAGATAGTTGTTTGTAACAAGCCTTGGGAGCATGAGGGGCAGAGTTGACACTGGAAAGCAGGAGAGTCATTCCAAAGGGATGAGTTTCACTGTCCATTCTATTCTATTTCTTTCACTCTAATAAGCCAAGACAAGCTTTTCTTGGAGGCAGACTGTGTGTGGGATGCACTAAAGCATTGTGCCATAGCTCTGGGATGAATGGTACCCAGGCTGGAGTGTAAATAGATTTGAGGCACCCTTTGTCACTTGTTATTGGCCTCACAGTCCACTCATCCTTCTGCAAACAACTTGCAAACAACACAGCTGGACTGCTGTCCTGGATACATATATATACAGATGGCTTTTCCAAAGCAGTTCACTATTTCCCAGTTAAATACACAACCTCCTCTTACCTATGGAATTGTGACTGAAGACACCTGAGAGCCAGATCTGTGTGAGATTGCAAAGGAGCAAAGCTTGGCCATTTGGGCACACTTGTCTTTGTTTCTTTGCTCAGGCCTTTGGTGAGCACAGAACACATTTGTGTAGAAAACTTTTGTCTGTAGAGGACTTTGGATCCATTGTTACCCAAACAGGTCAATGTGTGGCCCTGTTACAATGACAAGTTACAGCAGCAGCACAAGTGACCCAAAGAAAACATGGCAAAAAAGGAAGAGGAGATGCGCAATGAGGAAAGGACGTAGTGAGACACTGGCACATTGACTGAGCTGCACTCCCATAACCTCTAGGCTAGCAGGCCCTGATCTCACATTCTCCTTTGTTTTACTTAAATTTATTTATTTTTTAGATTTTAAAAATCATCAAAATAAAATATACAATAAAAAGATATCACACAAATTTAAAGATATATTCAAAACACATTTATTCAAAACTATCAGACCATATATACATCTCTAACTATGAAACCTGAAACATAAATCCTATTCTTCAAACACTCTTCAGACACACAGCAGCTTCCTCCTGAGCTTGGAGGATAGAGAGCTCTTCTGGATGGGAGGCAAGGAGAACATTGGAAGTGTCCAGAGAAAACTTCTTGGTAAGACTGCAGGCAGTCAGATCTGCAAAGGGGAGACACAAAATGTGACAGAGGCTGCAATGCAAACCTAAAGCATCTGAAGCTCCATATTTCATGTGACATATTCATTGGAAACTTCTAAACAGCTGCACAGGGAAACATGCTCCTGCTGGCAGACACTTGAATCAGGCCAGGGGAAAATCCTGAGCCACTTCCCCAGAGCTGCC